AAATAAATATACACTGCATAAATGGGAAGATATCACAATCTGAGATGTGAAAACTGGTTACAGTGAACACTTGAAAGGTGGGTTGAGTCGGAAGGCAATAGCTATTTACAGACCACAGGGGATTTATAGAAAGATCAATTAAAGCAGTACCATATGGCTACCCACATTTAAATGAGCAATTAATTTAATCATTGCTTGCTGAGCTCATGTTCAAATAACAGAATATGCTGACTACCTAAGTAAACAGATGCAAAGTTTCATCAAACAAAAAACAGACATTAAACTGGCATAACAGAAATGGTAACTATGCTTTATAAATAAAAAAATATAAAAATATAATTATTGGTTGTATACACAATATGGCAACTATATAATTAGATAAAAATGATAAAGGGCCAGTGTTTGTGATCAAAAGGCTACTACAAAAGACTGAACATACCCCACTTGCAATACCTTGGGTAGTCTACTTTTGCAAATGGTATGCCATCATGGGGGTAAATCTCATTCCTACGCTACCACACAGTCTCAAAGGTAACATTACTAATCTGGAAAATTTCAATGTTAAAAAACTGAAAAATGGAATGGGCTATATTTGACCCTGTAACTTTCCAGGGCACCATAAAACCTGTACATGGGGGGTTCTGTTGTACTCGTGAGATTTTGCTGAATCCAAATATGTGCTTTTTTTGCAGTAAAAGCTAACAGCTAAAATATGAGGCGTAACTACAGATTTTATTTTTTTTTTAATTTAAATTTCTCTTTTTTTATTTTCTTCATAATAGATTGTTTTATATACAAATATTTGATATGAAATGAAAGCCCTGTTTCTCCTGAACAAACTGATATCTAATAAGTGTGGGTGCATATAATATGAAAGAGGTGAACTACGGGTGAACAGACATATAGCGCAAATTCCAGTTTTTGTTTAGATTTTGTTTTGATCAGAACGTGTACTATTGACTGAAGGGGTTAAATTACAATTAGTGTCTGTGTATAAATAGTCAATGATAGTCAATAATAATGAGTTTGTTAGCTCTCATGTAGATGCACTGTGCAGGCTACATACTGAGCATTGGGGAGCAGAAAAGAACTGTCAAAAGACCTGTGTAAGAAGGTAATGGAACTTTATAAATATGGAAAAGGATATAAAATGATATCCAAAGTCTTGAAAATGCAAGTCAGTAATGTTCAATCACTTATTAAGAAGTCGAAAATTGGGGGGATCTCTTGATACCAAGCCAAGGTCAGGTAGACCAATACAGATTTCAGCCACAACTGCCAGAAGAAGTGTTCAGGATACAAAGAAAAAAACACAGGTAACCTCAGGAGAAATACAGGCTGATCTTGAAAAAGATGGTGTGGTTGTTTCAAGGAGTACAATACAATGATACTTGAACAAAAAATGAGCTGCATGGTAAACAGTGGCGGAAATACTGCGGCCGCAGGGGTCGCAGCTGCGGCCGTGCCTGTCACTTCAGGGGGCCCGGCCACCCTGCGGAACCCTGCGACTGAGGTGCCTGCCTGCCATACAACGCGGCCCAGGGGCCCATCAGGTGGCCCATGTTGTTAGGGCAACCCGATCGCAATGAATTTCCAGGGGGCCTGGCCAGCATAACGCGCCTTAACAGCACAACCGGGCCCCCTGTGATGTCATACGCTGGGAGGAAGTGACTGCCCCGGTCACTTCCTCCCAGCAATCCCAGAGAGCCGCAAGGGAGGAGGAAGGAGAGGAGGGAGTCAAAGTGGGAACTCTGACTCCCATCAGCATGAGCCACTGGACCCAGGGAAAGTCACCCTCCTGCACCTAAAAGGTAGGAAACAGGTGGGTGACTAAAACATTTTGTGTGTGTTAGTGTATGTGTGTCTGTATGTATGTGTCTCTATATGTGTGTGTGTCTGTATGTATGTGTCTCTGTGTGTATGTTTGTATGTGTGTGTCTCCATGTATGTGGGTGTCATCTGTGTTTGTCTGCATGTGTATCTGTTTGACTGCATGTGTGGGGAGGTAAACGTATGGGGGTGGGGAAAGTTCTTTGGAGCTTTGCCACGCTGTGTAAAATGACACAGAGCACTCTGATTGGATGGATTTCAAGCCCACCAATTAGAGTGTTATGAGTCAAATTACACAGCATACTAAAAGTTCAAAGAACTTTCCCACCTGTGTAAAATGACAAAGAGCACTCTGATTGGCTTAAACCAACCAATCAGAGTGTTCTTAGTCTAATTGCAGGGCGGGGGAAGGCTTATAAACTGCAGAGCTCAGTCTGCGTGGAGCCCTCCATGGGTGAAGATGGATTTTTTTTTTTTTAACGTCAGGTTTTTTCCTTTTTCGTCAGGTTTTTTTTTTGCGCTCGGATTATTTATTTTATTTTAAATTCGACAGGTATTATGGTTTTTTATTTGACCTTTTTTGGGGCTGAAAAATAAAGATTTTAGAAGAAAGAAGACATTAAATGGTAAGTTTTATTTTAATTTACAGGTTAGTTATTTTATTCCCCCCCACTCACTATTTTTAGGGTGAGGTGGGTAGGTAGGGGATAACTTTTATTTGAGTGGGTGGGTGACTAGGGGCTTGGGGACCCCTAATCACCTTGGAAGGGGGGGGAGGATTTTCATTCAGGGCCCCCACCCACCGCTCAGGGGTGGGGGCCAGGGGGGGGAGAGAAGGTCCCCCAATTGTTATTTAGGGCCCCCATACACCACGCAGGGGTGGGGCCGGGGGGAGGACAGTAGGTCCCTCCCCCCTAATTATGTAGGGCCCCCACCCGCCGTGCAGGGGTGGGGGTCGGGGTGTCAGACAGTAGGTCCTCCCCTCAATCTTATTTAGGGCCCCCACCCACCGCTCAGGGGTGGGGGCATGGGGGAGGGCAGTAGGTCCCCCCTCATTGTTATGTAGGGCCCCCACTGCCACGCAGGGTGGGGGCCAGGGGGGGGAAAGTAGGGGGTCCTCCCGGTAAGTATAGTAGGTAAGTTTCATCAGGTGGCCGCTCCATGTGGAGCCCAAACCAAATCTCTCCACCCAGGTCTCCCATGTGTCAATGAACCTCAAAGTGTCTTTGCTAGACATTAGGAACATGCTTTCATAAGTGTAGTATTGTATTTTGTCACAAAGCTGGGAGATGGAAGGACACTTCGTAGATTTCCTGTGAGAGGCAGTGAGATTACAGTCTACCAGGGGGACCAGGGCAGTCAGCTGTGTGTATTTACTGTCTAGAGTGGGTGGGAATAGTAGGGGTAGGCAAGACATGATTGTCATGGGGAAGTTGTGAATTCATAGTGCAACTAAGATGGTCATAGTGGGGTATACCCTCACAGATACACCAGACATGAAAAAAGGATCTTACATCCAAGGTGCACCACCAACAACAGGATGATACATTTGGGAACATTTTGTGCAATTTAAGAGGGGTCATGTAGCACCTATAGAGGAATTTCCTGTGTGCCTCTATGCGTGACTAACATTTCGTCCACTGTGAAATGTTATTAAGTGCTGAGAGCCATTCTGTTTCAGAGATTGGTTCTGCCCTATAGTTTTCCACTGAGTTTTGCAGTTTGGAGGTTTGTTTGGCAGCATACCTTGCCATGCTTTGTAGCAGAAAGATAGGCTCTTTGTTTAGTGCAAGCAACCCAGCATCACTCGATGCTGTGAAAAAGGGAGGCCTGGTGGAGGTGTATGTAGTGACTTTAGCTGAGATTATACTTTTAACTTGCAGGTAAGAAAATATGGAATAATTAGGGACCTGCCAAATGTTTTGTAGAGTCAAGTAAGGTTGTATGCCCTTGCTGACTGTCAGTTGGAATATCTGGGTGACACTTGAGGAAAGCCACCCCGTGAGGTGGATGTCTGGCGACACTGACCTTAAGTGAAACTTCAACCCGTACCTCATTGTGGAAAGGTGTTCCTCACAGAGTTTTATGGTCAAGATAGTTGTAGAAAGCAGGTTAGGTAGTCTTTGTCAGAGAGGTCTATGTGTCCCAATGTAATCAATTAACTGTTGTGTGCGGAGTTGTGTTCTCTCCATGTCTACCCACTGTAAAGTGCCCACTGGTGTGTGTAGGAGTATTCCCATGGAGAGGTTTGACTTTGTAGTACAGCCATAGATTAGACAGATCTACGCCACCATGTTGAGGGGACCTTTGTAGTAGCGGGAACTGGATACGTTTTTTTTTTTTTTTAATGTTTCAGATAAAGGAGCTGCAAATAGATTGTAAGGTATCACAATATATTTGATGGAACGAAATTGGTAGCATCCGATAGACATAGGGAATGCGGGGTAGTAGCTTCATTTTAGATTTATTTATCCTCCTAGGAAAATGTGAGATATTTCCATTTGGCGATTTCTGTAGTACATAAGTCAATCCTAGAGTAGTTATTGTGTGTGGCAGTGTGACAAGTGTAGTCAAGTTCAGTAGAGTGCATCATGCGCCAGGGACTACATAGTTGTGGGACAGGATGGTTTGACAAATGAGCATGGAGAGAAGGGATCTTCTTTGGAGGTGCAGGAGGCTATGGTCCGGTCTGCAGAGGAGTCTAAGGAGCTGTCCAGCAAAAACAATTGGTGTCGCCTCCAATGATGACTTTCCCATAACTGTACATAATAACCAAGCAAATACATTAAACAAAAATGTATGTTGTTTACCATTAGGTCCGTATACATTAATCAGCGTGTAAGGGTTATTGTTGATATGACATTGAATGATAAGGTAACGCCCTTTTCTGTCCCCTATTTTGCGTACTAAGGTAAAAAAATCACATTCTTCCCTATTTAGATAGACACCCCCCTATTTTTTAGCAGATTGACAGGCGTGATAATCTATGAGGTAACCATATTTAAATCTGGGTTTGCTAACCCGTTGGAAGTGCGTTTCTTGAAAAACCACTATGTGGGCCCCACACTGTCTGACCTCATGAAGTGCCAACCAGTGTTTTAAGCCCTTTAGCTAAGAAAAAATCATATGGACCATGAGGAGGATTGAGGGGTTCTGAGTAGCGATCTAGTCTAGGTAAGCAGATGTAGTAATGGACTTGAGGGGTCTGAGTATATGGCAATAGCGACATATTTGTCAGGCACTCTTCTGGGCATTCTGCAAGTCAACATGAGCTTATTTTTATGATGGAAGAAGTGGATCCACTCTATAGTATCCTTCGAAGGCTCCGGAGGTGCATTATGGCCTTCAGGAAGCCGGTGTATCCGGTCAATGATTCTGTCACAGGCAGGGAGGTCTGTCAAAATGTAGACAAGGTAGGACTTAAAATATTCCTCCAGGTTTGCTGCTGACACAGAGTCTGGAATGCCCCATATGTGCACATTGTTGCGGCAAGAGCGGTCCTCCACGTCTGCTAGTTTTAGTTGGAAATCTGCCACTTTGTACGCCACACTGGTGTATTGGTCGGATAGATAGTTGTAAGAGTCTATGATTTCATCCATCTTGGATGCTAGTTTATTCGTTCAATCTCCCAGGTCATTAACAGACTTCTGTAGTTCACCTGTGATGTGTAGAAAATCAGTTTGAATGTATTTGCGTAAGTTCTTTATAATATTTTTAATTTAGCTGGTAAATGGAGTCTTGAAGCTCTGGGGCGGGCCTTCCATGTGATTTTCCTCTCTGCGTGGGATAGAGGGGGAAGAGAGCCAGTGCTGCCGGGGGACTCCGTGCCTCTGATATCTTGGAGCAGGTCTGTAATTTGCTCTGGGACTTTTTGCCCTTGTTTCCAGCCATGCCACCTAGTTTTGAGGGCTAACAGCTTGGATTTTCTGCTGTGAGAGCCATTTTATATGCGCTGATGTGCAAAGGGAAGGACACAGGAATAGAAATCAACACGATATCCAGCCACCTCTACATTCGTCTTGCATGTAAGCAACCCAGAGGAAACCTGACTGGGCAGTGGGACATGTAAATCTTGAGCCATTCTCACAATCCTCAAGTCTTTCTCACAATGCTAGAATTTTGGAATGGGTAAGTGGGAAGACATAAGGGGAAAACACACAAGAGCTTGAGTGGAAAAGGGCAACACAAAAATTGGGTAAGGGTATGGTAAAATTTAACAGGGTTAAGGAGAGACACAAAGGGGGTGATGGGTAAGGAAAGTCACAAAATGGAGTGAGAAATAAGCAGAAATGAATGGAATGGCATTTTTGTTTAATTCAGGAAGTGTGGATGGGGGAGTTTGTCAATAGGCTATAGTGCTCTGGGTGCAATATACTGTAGATAATCTATGGTCTTTCTTAACGTGGACACTGGAGGTGATGTAGACTGTAACACCCATAACTATTTTCTAGGCACGATCTAAACACAGTTACTAAATTAAATAGTGCCAAGGTCTACTCAACCTTCTAATGGAAACACTCCAAACCCCTAAAATACTTTAGCTTTCTGAAAAGCTTATGTGTGCAGAGTGTGTACTCTTTTTTCATTTGGAAATAGTGATTTCAATAGAAAGTGACACTTTTATAAATTTTACTGGTTACACCAGACAACTGGTCCTTTTACTTCCTGGTTTGGTTAGCTTATTTGCACTCAACCCAAGAGGCAGCAATTGCTCAGAGCACCTTCCTTGCAAAGAGTTGCATTGGGAAGTCTGTGATTGGACAGCCACAGAAAGTCTGGGCAGGGTTAGAAGAGGACAGATTGTAAATGGCTACAGACAAGAGATCTGTAGTTTTTGCAAGCTTATTTTAGATATAACTTCAATAAAAAAAATGCATAATTAATTGCATGCAAGTTCTCATTTGGGTATATCTAATAAAATGTGATTTTTTTTTTAAAAACATTTTTTGCATTTGGCAGTGGAGTGTCCCTTTAACCTTATGTTTGTGCAAAAAGGCATCTTAAGTAACCCCTCTCTCTGAAAGCAAGATTAAAAATGCACCACTATTTTGTTACTCAATTTTCCCCCTATTTCGACTGCACTATTTTACTCAGACACTAAATGTGTGAAGAGTGTTAGCCTGTATGGTATAATATGTATTTGCTTGTTGCTGAAGTATAACTCACTTACTTGCTCTCTCCTCTTGCAATTCTCACTGTCCTCCACTCAGCCATGACTTCTGCTTTGCTGCACCACAAAATCCCCACAGTAATAATGGCTTTTCATGTTTTATATTATATGTGAATGTATACTTGCTACTTTTCTGTTATGGAATTGGCAGGAATTTGTCTCTTCCACATGATCACACGCTAGTTACTATTTGCATTGATCTTTAGTGGAACTAATTGGCCTGCTTATAAGCATACACACTGAAGGCTGCTGTCAAATGAAATGATCTTTTCATGCCAGAGTTTACTGTGTATTTGTTTGGTCAGCTCCTGCTACGGCATATGACATTAGAGTTAATTAATGCTGTGCTAAAACTAGAAATTACTCATCAATAACAGAAACTCTGTTACCACTGCCCCCTCCCTCCACCGCCCCCTCCACCAGTTTTACTGTCACCCTCTGCTCTCACTATAATATTTTTTTTTGTAATTAACTGGGTTATTATCTAAAGATCTCATTTTGTATGGATTGAAAAAATCCTGTGAAAATGACCAAATTCATTTTCCTTTGTAGCAAATGCGGGATGCATTCGGTGTCTGGGTTAAAATGGAAAGTATAGGATTTGGAAGATTCACAAAGCAATAGTTTAAATAATGCAAGCATGCTTTTCATGTCAGCATGGTGTGTAAAACCTTTAGAAAGACAATCTCCATCATCGTCCAGCTCCTGGAAATGGATTTCATTGGTTTGAAAAAAAGGGATCAGTATTGCAACCTACAGAAGGACTAGTGATGGAGTTATTATTATTAAAATATAGTAATTACATTTGTAAATGCTGCCATTAATCCAGCTCTTCTCCTTATAACATCGCAGTAGAAAGACTGGCGAGGCTAAACTCCGGTGTTTCAACCAAAGGCTCCCCTGTATTAACTGTAGTGTATAATGACCCTGCTGCATAGTTTAAATAGAGATTGCTTAGTGGTGAGGCATCATGGTTTACTAAGATTGCACTAGCACAGGGCTCTCCATACTCTGGCCCTCCAGATGTTGCTCAACTACAACACCCATGATTATTTGAAAGAAAAAGAACACCAGCACTTGAAGAAGGCTTTTGAGCCGAAACACGTTTGCTGCTATTCTTTATTATGCAGCTGTATGTTATATTAGCTTGTTATTATTTTATTTGTTTGCTCTTGGTCATTATATTTGGGGTAAGTGGATATCCTTTTGCCTGTATCTTTTTGGATTCCACTCCCCTAGCATCTTGAGTTTTGGATTTTTTACCTTTAATAAGTACATATATTTTTTCCTGAAATTTTCTCCATCTACTCTTTGGAATTCCGTTAGCCTGTATTGGCACCCTTGGGTCTGCTATATAGAGCCTGGGACGGCTCTGCCAAATGTGAGTGACAGTCTGTTTTGCCCTACCTCATATTTTCTTATTACAGATTACACTACGTTGTATTTTATTTTATGCTTTTAGATATCACCTGATTATATTGTCCAGCTCAGGTTGTATTTTTGTATGTATTTATTATCACTATTTCACTTTTTGGTTTACATTATTTGTGGTTTGATATAAATTTTGCCTTTATTACTCACGTTTTATATGTTTTCGGGAAAACACTTTTATATCTACCACTACTTTTATCTTTATATTCACGAAGCGCCTATACACTATCCACTTGTTTTTCTTGTGAAAGAAAAAGATAGTCAGAGAATCATGGAGTTGTAGTTGAGCAACATCTGGAGGGCCAAAGTTTAGGGAACCTTGCGAGGCCAATTGTGCTAGCATCGTGTTATGTTGAACATATATTGGTAAACAGTAATGAAGAGTTCACTAGAATGAGGTAAGTCATGTGCCTGTCAAGTGGAAACTTACTTCTTCTGCACTTTCAAGTGATTGGTACTGCCATCTTCCTAAGATGGTCCATATGTGCATTTGTGTGCACTAGACTCCATTTGCCCATGCATGTTCACTAGCCTCCTGCATTGACAATTGTTTTGGAATTTAGGTTGTGTCACAACACCTCGCATTCGCTGTAACTGTATAAAAATGAGTGCAGTAGCTTTACATTTTTTTTTTGACATTTATAGTGTGCCAAAACAAATCATAAAGAGCATCAATAATAAGTACAGTGAAGTGCAATTAACCTTTAAGTGCAACAATAAAGTGCAAACCAAAAATATTTGTGCAATTTTCACATTGTGCACATAACACTTGCATTTAATAATATATCCTCTGTAATATCATTCACAGTTCATTCAGTGTGGCTCAAATTTTACAATAAGGAGAATGGAAAAAACAAAATATAGTGTAACACAGTAATAAAATAACTATATACTAGCTATAAGGTGTAATAACTCACAAATAAAGAGCAGCAAATCCTGCTCTAACTTTTGGCAGCTTCAAAATATCCACATAATAGTCACTTGGTTGGACCCAGGCAAGAAAACAGAATGGCAGCCAATCCACCTTGAAAGCTTTATTCCGTGCAGATATAGTAAAACAAGTGTGGACGCAAAATATTCTCCCCGGTGAGCAGCACTGGGTGTTCCTCCTCAAGATGTTGTAGAAACATAGAAACATAGAATGTGACGGCAGATAAGAACCATTCGGCCCATCTTGTCTGCCCAATTTTCTAAATACTTTCATTAGTCCCTGGCCTTATCTTATAGTTAGCATAGCATAAGGCCTATCCCACACATGCTTAAACTCCTTTACTGTGTTACCCTCTACCACTTCAGCTGGAAGGCTATTCCATGCATCCACTACCCTCTCAGTAAAATAATACTTCATAATATTATTTTTAAACCTTTGCTCCTCTAATTTAATTGTAGCAGCACGCATTCTTCTAAGCCTCAGAAAAGCCGGCGTCCAGATGAGGAACACAGTGCTACTCACTGGGGAGAATATTTTGTGAGAAGGTTTGTGTCCACACTTATGTTTTACTTATGTTGTTGGGAATCATTTGCTGCAACTGAACTAAATAAAAGTTTATTAAAAAAGATAACGCAAAAATAAATGCACATTCAACATGTAGCATTTGAAGGCATTTTAAATGGATGATTTAATTGTTGAAGTGTTGAGACATCATTTCTGAGTTGTGGTATTAGTGCTAATTTATTATCATTTTTTTTTAATGAAAATTACTTTACAAAGATTATTTTAGATAATCTTCATATATATAAGACAGAATTAACATCAAAATAAATGACACATGGATTAGAAATGTAGACACTTTCTACACCACAATTAATAATTCATAATAGTTCATTAGTTGGTGATTGCAATGATTCATCCATGAAAAAGAAAAGTTTCTTTGCAGTGCTAATTATTATAACAAACAAAGCATTCAAATGATTTCAGATCATGAGCTAGGTACTTTCAAAATGATAATGACAGATTTTTTTTTAAATTTATATAACGTTTGTCTCTCTAAACAATGA